TTTTTTTCTAATCAGGAAGTCAAAAGTTTCGCATTATGTAGGTAGGTACCATACCGAGAGTGTGTTTACCGTATTCCAGTAAAACCGGTGCCTATTTTGTTTCCCGCATGTGGTATCTGACGCGTGACGGCTTCGCTCGGCTGCAACGTTGAGTAGAAGCAACAGCAGCAACAGCAAGGCAAAGTCACAATGAAACAGACGAACCAACAGCAGAGTTACCAGCAGCACGGTACCACCGGTACAATGCTAATGGTGTCACGGTGACCGTATGCTAACGCTTATATATATATATATATATATTCAATAGGGGGATTGCAAATTGTGCAAATGGGACACACCGTTGATCACCGGGTGTCTTCTTTTCATGGTTGTTCTCTTTTTTTTTTTTCTTTTTTTCTCTATCTCTCCGGTTACCTCTTCCTGAGAATTCTATAGAGATGACACATTGATGTATGATGGGGTATGACGTGTTAACTAATATATCGATTTTTTTAGTGACGTAGATGAACATTTCTAGGATATACTAAACCTTTTAGCAACCCTTTAGTTTTATAGACACATGTCTATTTGTTTAAGCCTTTTCTTCTTCTTCTTCTTCTTTTAATTGACAAATACCCGTTCGTTATTTATGCTACTCAGGTTTTGTTCTAAATGAGTTAGCGTATGCTGCTCACACCCGCCATTGTGAGTTACAAACGTGTCTGCATACGTACGTAAGTAAATACGTAGGTAAAGTTAGTTGGGGGATTATTTTTGGTATGCGGTCTAACGAAATCAAGCGAAAGCCATCGTTCTCTTTAATAACCCAATGATACGCTTGTGTGACTGGTGTGTGTGTGTACTTCAATGCATTAGAGGAGGGTGCCTAGTTGTGTTGTCAAAGTGATACGTATATTAGATAACACGGAAAACCACTGGTACACGTTGGTGAACCACGGCAGACGTTTGTGGTTCAACTTGAGTAGACTCAGAATCTGCTGCTGTTGCTGTTGCTGTTTGATTTATTTTCTTTTCTAAATAAGCAATTGGACTATACAGAGTACGACAATAAAATGGCGGGGAAGGGAACTGTTTGATTGGGAGGACAAATATAATCCTTGTATGATCTGTTGAATTAAGTTAATTCATCTTTAAGTGCCGTTACATGTTCACAGTTTATTCAAATAAAACGGCACCTCATTTATACCGTTTTAATAAACTCTCTTTCTCTCTCTCTCTCTCTCTCTCTCTCTCTCTCTCTCTCTCTCTCTTGGGTATTTTATACATAAATAATAGTTAGGTTAAGTTTGAATAATTGATTAGAGTAGTTACGTTAAGTTAAAACTAGGGTTTTTTGATGAATGCAAATTTTTCTTAGGTTAGACGATTTTGATTTAAAAAAAAAAAAAGTAATTTATGATCTTCTCTGTCTGCTGCTTTGCCAAAATGAAGGTGGGCGTTTAGTGGAACAAGCGATCTACGACGATGACGTAATAGTTCATCTTTGAGAGACAAGTAACTAAGTAAGTAGTAAGTACTTAGGACAAAAATTATGAAAGTAAAGAAAGAGAGAGTGTTATTTTTAGGATTTCAATTTAATGTCTCAGTTTTATAAGATTTCTTTTTTTTTTTTTAAGTAAAAGTAACATTTTTAAAGTATTTTGTTCAAGTTATAAAATGAAAGAGAGAGAGAGAGATTCTTGGAATGAAATCTTTCTTAGTATTGCGAAATTCAGTGAAAATTGATTAATGAGCTTCTTCCTTTTTGTTTTTTTTTTTTTTATTTACTTTTTATTTCTCCTTGGGATTATAAGTTTTCAGTCGTTTTTACTTTTTTTCTCTTTTATGTTTTTTGCAATCAGAGACACGTGGGGATTTTCCCCTTTTTTTTTTTCTAAAAATGAAAAATTTCGTTTTAATTTATTACCAATGGGTAGTGTGTAATAAAGGTAGTCTCATGGAAATTCNTTTTCCCCTTTTTTTTTTTCTAAAAATGAAAAATTTCGTTTTAATTTATTACCAATGGGTAGTGTGTAATAAAGGTAGTCTCATGGAAATTCTCATTGGTTAAACTATTTCGAATTGGGTGGTGCTATTTTGTTTCCTGGAAAGTTGCCACCTTTTATTCGAACTCCGTCAGCAAAGAGAGAAAGAGAGAGAGAGAAAGATAGAGAAAAAGAAAAAGAGAACACAACCTCTCTCTTCCTCTTTTATCTGAAATATTTTATGTGACTCGAGATTCTTGGCAAGTTTTCTTAATCCTATCTCTTGTCCTCCTCCCCCTCTTCCTCCCCCTCTCCCCATCCCCTTCCCTCAATCTTTGTACCTCCAAAATCCTGTAATTAACGTTTATGATACATGAAATTTCAGTATATCATCCCATATTAGAATAATCCCATGTTTATCTTCATAACCTATAAAACGTAGTTTTCAAGTTTTAAATACTATTTTAAAGTGATAAATGATATTAAAATAGAATGCTTTTTATGTTATAATGTAATTTTAATTTTTTTTGTTTTTTTTTTTTTTTGTCAAATAAAATATTTGGAAAATATGCCACATAAATTCTTACCAACATTTCATTGCAATTATTAAAACATATAACTTGTGAAATATTATTTAACATCTTTCAAAGTAAAACCGCCATATATTTTTGGCAGACTCACACACACACACACACAGGAAGTTATATTATATACATTCTTGCTAAAAACCAAAATAATTTTCCAATTCGAATTAATAATCTTAATTTTTTGGAATTGTGTTAGGTTAGGAGGTTAGGTTAGAAAAGAAAGAAAGAAAGTAATTCATTCATGATTGCTTATCGTGTTTTATTTCATCCCCCTTTCTTTTTATACTATAAATACATTTCTTTTCTTTTTTTGTTTTTTTTTTGTTTTGTTTCAAGTGTAGAAAGAATGAAAGAATGAATGCAAGAATTTCTTTTTCATCTTTAAAATGGCTATTCATAATAATATATTGATAAATCACATAACGAGAGTTAACCTAGGCAATGAAGCAGACAATTAAGGTCATTCCTGTGCGAGTAACATGCACTTTACTACTGCGATTACCTAACGACCTCGTACTTCACACAGACATACATTATACCAGACTGTATATAATATATATAGTTTTACATGCGATAATACGCAGCAGTTACATGGGATATCAATGATAAAGAACACATCTGGTGTATTTAATTTCGTCTTTTGAAACCTACCGATTGACGTAGTTACGAATCTACAATTCAATCGAAAAATTGCGCTTACGTAGAAACGCATATGCATCAAAATATATTCCTAAAGTACCAATGTTAAATACTAAAAAAAAAACATGTTGGTATTATCTTTGTATTAATTAAAAGAAAAATTAATGAATGATTTTAGGTGCGACATACATCACCACCCCCACCAGCACCAACATCGGCAACAGCTACTCGGAAGGAGAGTTTGCCACTACGTGGTCCAAGAACTCTCCTGCTTAGACGTAGTGAAAATGGGTTTGGATTCACCCTTCGACATTTTATCGTTTATCCGCCCGAGTCCTGTTGCGTAAGTTGAAATAAATGACAACGTTTTGTATGAATATGTAATTCTATACATTTAAATGAAATTAATACGATTGTTAAATGATAAATTATTCTCAGATGTTGCCAGGACACGAGCGGACAAAGATCGATGAACCTATGGACACGATCTTCGTAAAACAGGTGCGAGTTAATTCGCCAGCATCAGAAGCAGGCCTTCGTACGGGTGACCGGGTTGTTTCAGTTGATGGAATAGCAACACGAGGTGAACAATACGCCAGTGTAGTTCAACGTATTCAACAAGCGGGTCCTTGGTTACGTTTACTCGTTGTTTCGAAGGAAGACGATATTTTGCAACAGGTATATAAATTATATTTCAATTTACAATAAACAATAACAATATATATATAAATAATTTGTAAATGTTTGATGATAGTATTTTGGTGAAACGGCGCATAATCCTGAGACGAATCAACGTCCAAGATTACGTTCTCCAGAGAGGATTTCTCAAAAGCAACGCAGGTCTATCAGTATGATACCAGGACCGTCGCCAAGAACAACCAGGCAATCATGGATGTGTTCCCTTCCGGATTCCGAAAATTTAAGTACAACTGCAACAACTTGTAGAGATAATGAAGAGGTTCTTTATAAGGAATCACAAGGCAACAAGATGTCACCGTCTATACCAGTTATCGCAGGACAACAAAGAAGATATTTACAGGAAACTAATATACCATGCGAACCCGTCGAAGATAGAATGCAATCGAGAAAATTACAGCACCAACAACAAGTTCGCGAAGCCATGGAATCGCCACCCCAATCGTACACCCGACCATCACCGGATCAGAGGTTCGATTTGTACGATAGAACGCGTCCCGAATCGATTTATTCTAGGTTAGTACATTGAAATTCTTTCATTAACTGTATAAAACTGTTTTAAATTTGTTTACAATGTTTGTTTTTTTTTTCCTTTTTTCTTTTTTGATATTTCAGACCGAGTAGCGAGCAAATTTACGATAGAATCAAAGATCCTATTTACGAGAGAGTTAGATCAGCTGAATCTGCTGGTGGACAGTATGAAAAAGAACAACAACAATTAACGATGTTGCGTTATCCAATATCCCGTGCGGAACCACAAGTTCCTATTTACCGTCCTGGCAGACGTGTGATAGCAAGACGAGCGAGTGAAGGTAGTGGGTCTACTGGTGGTCAAACTAACGAATCCGAAGTTCCCAGTTATGGTAGTATAGACGCACTTAGATCTAACGATCCAAGTTCGAGATTGAGTATGGATTCTCGAAGAGACTCATCCCCAATCAGCAAGGGTAGTTTGTCCTCGTTCGACTCCAATTCGACTGTTACTGGAAACGAATGTTCCGACGATTCTGTCATCATGAACAGATTACGTAAGAGTTTCGAACAAAAGGAAGAATTTTTACGCAGACCGAGTCATCCAATTGGATGGAGTGTCACCGAGGATGCATTGAGATTGCAACAGAGTAGTGGTGGTAGTGCTAGTAGTGGTAGTGGTGCTGGTGGTGGTGGTGGTGGTGGTGGAGGTAGTGGTAGTGGTAGTGCTAGTACAAACTCGGCTGTTATTCAAAGAGAATTTTACGCAAGACCGCAGAAACTTCAAAGGCAAATTTGGCCACCCAATGAACAACAACAAAGGCAACAATCGCCTACGAGAAGAATCGATAACAAAAGCAATGGCAAATTGTCATTAACCAAACCGTCTAATCAAAATGTTCAAAGGGTGAAAATTGATCTTGATTCGGAATCGGATTATAATAATTCGCGAAGTGAACAGAACGATGATCGTTCGAATCTAATTGACAGTCAGATTAGCATCAGAGATAGATTTTATTCGAGTCTTTACGAGAGTCAATTGGGAAAGGAAAATCATTTTGTTTATCCACCGACTAAAACTAACGATCAGGATAGGTATAAGGCTAACAGTAAATCTGTGTTTGTCAGTACATTGTCAAAAATCCATGAGAACGCATCGAATTCTATTGCAACAAATCAACACCAACACCAACAACAACATCCACAAGATTCTAGGAATGAATCACTCTCCGTACCATCTTCTCCTGGTCCGGATAAAAAAAATAATGACAAATTTGTGGTACCACCTCAAGGATTACAAATTGTTTCCAGACGTGCGAAACAATTTGAATCCGGTAGACTTCTCAGCGACGATGAAGAACCAACCAGCGATCGAACTAATTTATACAAAAGCGAATTGTCTAGGTTGTCGAACAAAAGAAGTGTACCAAACGTTGCCGTCATGAAAAGAGAATTCGAATCCAAAGCAGAATCGCAAGAACCAAGAAGAATACCTGCTAACAGGGAAAGCAAATCGTTAGATTCCGGTGAGTATTGTTTGAATATTTTATTTGTATTTTTTTTTTTTTTTTTTTTTTATTTACAATCAATACCTTAATCAATGACAGACATTGAATTATTAATTCATTTATTCATTTATTTATCTATTCATACGTGAATTTTATTTGACGTTGGTTATTATTATTCATTACTATATAAGTATATAGTATATTTAAATATTGTGGCTTAGGGAGGGGATTATCCGGAAACAGAATATTTCCTATAGGCAGCAAGTACATCCATTGTGAACCCCCTGCCAACTATAAAGAAGTTCAAGGTAGAATAAGAAAAGCGGTTCATGTGTTCCTTTATTTTTTTTGTTGTCGTCATTTTATGATTTATTATAGTGATCATCGTGCATTTTGTTTGAACGTCGTCCTCCATATTGTTTCAATGTTAAGTGTTTAAGTGAACGCGACAATTGATCATTCATTTGTATCCCTAAAGATTCAATTGGGAAAAAAGAAGTAACCCTGCCCCCCCACCCAAAAATATTTGTTCTTTGCTTTATGTTTTATTTTGTTGTCGTTGCAAAATTTATTTCAGTAAAAAATTATACTCGTCATAATAAACGTTGAGTGATATTATTGTGGAAACGAGGTGTGCTATTGTTAGTATGTGTGAATGCATGATTAAAGATAAAATAAGCTTTCAGGATATTAAAATATAAAAATTGATCAGCTTTTTATATATATATATATAACAAACAATTATTATTATTATTATTATTATTATTATATGTATACGTCGCTTTTTTTGTTGTAATTTTTATTCAACGTGTTGTGAAGAAAAAAAAAAAAGAGAAAAAAAAATGTTTATCGTCTAAGCAATGTCAATTAAACAATTTTACTTTAGGATGACATGATCAATGCTTAGAAATATTGTAGCATGAACAAAACTGGAACAGTTTGTATGCATTGTTCGTACAAAAAAAAAAAAAAACATTTAATCACTCGCTGAAAGATTTTTTAACCAACACACGTACTACCACCATGCCATTAATACTGTAAACAAAATCGATAGAAAAACAAATTTCATTACAATCAATTCTGATGATAATTTACAGAAATACCGACGATGGAAATAGAAGCAGTTCATCTTAGGGCACGCAGTAATAGTGCGGAATCTTGGGAAGCTGTAAATGGATCGCGTGGAAATACAAGACATACGTGGCAAACAGAGCAAGAAGATGATGAAAAGGACAATCGAAATGATAATAATAATGGTGATAGTAAAAACCAAAGTTATGGACAGTCTACTAGAAATCAACTTGGTCAGTTAATTAGAATAATATTTTTTTATGATTTTTTTTGTAACAATTGTAATTAAATATCACATGGGTAGGTCGTTCATACCACCGGGGTCCTTGTTTTTCGGGTCATTAATAATAAAAGGATTAAATATAATATTAATATTATATTTTTGTTCACAGCTCCTTGCGATGAAACATCAAACAATGGAGTAATCTTAAGACGACAGAAAAACGCACAGTTGAGTAAGTATTATTTTTTATGATTTTTATATTAATAAAATAAATGATTACAAATAATACAAAGTTTAATTAAACAATAATTTGGATGTTCTAGGTGACGAAGAGCGCGCTACGAGAAGAGTTTCCTACCTGAAAGCTACGTGGGGTGAACGAATGCACGTTGATAGTGATTTAGATCTTAGTGACACTGAACCTGTTCATGTTCTTAGAAGGTAAATATCTTTTTTCTTTTATTATTACACTTTTAGATATTTCATTATGTAAGGAGAATATAAAGTAGAACAACATTTATAATATAATTAATATAGATAAGTTAATGAATCAATATAGGTTAAGTTGATGTTTGGAAAAACACAAGATGGACTGAACAAATCTGGCTTATATTTCGTCATCATATTTTATCATTCTCGTTTATTCATTTTTAATGTATATTTGTGATATATAAGCGCGTCTCTTAACAAATCAACACTTTTGTCTGCCCCCTCCCCACTCGCCCATTTCCCTTTTCGAATCATTGTATAATTCACAGCTGAGAAACACGTATATTGGGTGCTTGGAAATAATTCACCGACACATAATTAAAGAAAAAGATGTCATTGTTGTTGTTCCTTCTGGTGATGCTGTGTAATGCAATTATTTATTATTTATTGTATTTTTATTTGATTTGTTATATTAAATCCATTTCCACCACGTGCGTGAGCGCGCGCGCGCGCGCGCGTACAAATACAGTTGGTTTTTTTTCAGTTATGTTGATGTGTATGTATTTACAGTGCACATAGACGATGGAGACCACCATTATTTACAAGCGACATAACACCATTAAGACGAATCTTTGAGGATATGACGCAGTCCACAAATCTTCATCGACATTCTCTTCGGTGAGGGTGTAATCCTTTGTAGAAGGCCTTGAAAAAAGATATCCTAAAAAAATGAAAACATAAAAAAAAAAAAGAAAGATGATAAAGCATCGTCTTTATTTCTTTTTTTTTTCTTTTTCTTTCTTTTTTTCGTTAATTTATGATTTAAGTTTCGTTGATTGATGATATCCATTCGTTGAAACAATTTTATTAGAATTTTGTTGCTTTTGTAAATACGTTCGACCATTTTGGTTTTTTTTTTTCTTTTTTCCTCTCTTTTTAGTAATAGACAAATTTATTTATACAGTAATAGTAATTTTTGTTGTTGTTGTTGTTGTATGCAAGCGAAGATATGATTCTTTGTTCTATTTCTTCTTCTTTTCTTTTCTTCTTTTAATTATGATTGCTTTTAACTCTTTTTTTCTTTTTTTTTTACATTTCTTCTTTTTCTCATACTCAGGGGAGAATAGCGAGATTAGGAGGTTATAATAATACTATTATTTTCTAATTTCTTTTTCATTAATTTTGTTGTACTCGTGGGTTCTTCTTCTCTTCATCTTCTTCTTTTTCTTCTTTATTTAGTACAAAAAAAAAAAAAAAAAA